AGTGGTGGTAGTGGCGGCGAAAATCGAGTATGAACAAGTCTATCTTCATTGAGTCGTATATGACCAGATCTATAATAATTGTGATTGTACGTGACTTGGTTACATAAAATCACAAATTAGACTAATATGATCACAGATAGTCACACTGAAAGACAAAAATGGTCACATTTGGTCACAGATAACATGGGTCAGTGAACGTAGTAAAGTTGGAGGTGAAGGTGGTAGTGACTGTGGTGGATTGTAGTATTGGTCTGTGGTGTGTGACGATTTGATTGGGGTGACTCTTTGTTGTCAAGTATGTGTTTATTGTGAAAGTTGTAACTAATTTTGTATTAACTGTGATCGATTGTGATTTGATCACATACCAACACAATTAAGATTAAATTGGTCACAAATAGTCCACTGAATACAAATTTGGTCACAAATAATACATGTCAGTGACACATTAACTTGATCACAGACAGTGTGGTCATAGTCAGTCACAAATAACACATGTATGGTCACCAACTATAAATCTGATTACATATAACATAGTTAATCACAAAACTCATCAACTACGATATAACACTACTACCATCACACAGTACTCAAATAACACATGTATGGTCACCAACTATAAATCTGATTACATATAACATAGTTAATCACAAAACTCATCAACTACGATATAACACTACTACCATCACACAGTACTCAAATAACACATGTATGGTCACCAACTATAAATCTGATTACATATAACATAGTTAATCACAAAACTCATCAACTACGATATAACACTACTACCATCACACAGTACTCAAATAACACATGTATGATCACCAACTATAAATCTAATTACATATAACATAATTAATCACAAAACTCATCAACTACGATATAACACTACTACCATCACACAGTACTCAAATAACACATGTATGATCACCAACTATAAATCTAATTACATATAACATAATTAATCACAAAACTCATCAACTACGATATAACACTACTACCATCACACAGTACTCAAAACGTTGCCAACAACTCACCACCACCACAACCAAACAGATTAACTGCAATGCACCTTCATCACCTCCAATGCATTATCACTGCAACCACGCAGATCTATCTTCTAAACACAGTGCCGCCTCACCCCCACCACCATCTGTAAAGTTTTTTTTGTGTCTGTAAATGTGTGTGTGTGTATATATATAGAGAGAAAAGACATATTTAATTTTTGGAGTCATTGGAGCGACCCTCAGAACAATCGTCAGAGCTGTAGTTGGAGCAATCGTCAAAACGATCATCGGAGAGGTCGTTGGAGTGGTCACCAGAGGGGTCTCCGGAGCCAATGGCCACCTCCAATGGGGAAAAGGGGTAGAAAGAGGATAAAGAGTAGAGAGAGAAAGAGAAAGGCTTGGATTTGAAATTCGGTGTGATTAATTACATTATAATTAAAAATTTAATAAATTGATTTATCACCTAATTTTTGAAAAGTTTTATGGAATTTGTTAGTTTTGAAATGTGTTTCTTATATATAGGATTTATGTATTGTTCCCTTATTCTAACACGCAATTGTAGTTTTGACTTTTTCAGGCCAAGTTCAAGGAACTGGTGACTTAATTTAAGGGGTGGTTAGCCCAACTAAGGGTGAACGTGGTTCAAATTGGATGGTTTGTACTATATTTTCAACTCAAACCATTTTATGTGGTTTGAAATTTTTTCAAATCAAACCAAACCATTTTATTTTTCGACCCAAACAAACCAAACCATAATTTGCGGTTCGGTTCGATTTTAATCCGTGGGCTTACCTATCGATATTATAGTAATATATTTGATAAAGTTAATATATAAGTTTAAACGAGAACTAATAATGTTAAACGTTAAATTACATTCATATTTACAATGAAACACATGAATAAATTATTTTCAAAGTTGGTTGCTAAAAGATGTTAATAGAACAAATATATTTTTCTTCATCTTTATTTACCTTTTCTTGTTTGACATTCATATTGTCATATAGTGGTTGGTAAAGGTAAAGTTATATTATACTATTATAGTTTGGTTAAAACTCATTTCGTCTTGCTGGTGAGATGTTAAATTAGGATTGAACAGAATATATTTAGATGTACAAAGATTGATAGAGTTTGCGCTTATTGAGAATTGACGAATTTCATTCTCTAACTACTTTATAAAAGTAAAACGTAGTAGTACTAGTTAGAAAACTTTAACTTTTCTCACAATCAATATGATCCATCCCTCGTTCATTCCAAACCAAAAACAAGTTCATTAATCATTTAGGCACAAACAATTCTTTTTCTATCCAAACCACAATTCATAAGTGTATAATAAGTTCAAAAACAGCAATTAAAATAAAGAACAACGAAAAAATGGCTTAAATGAGAATCTAAGACTTACCAAAAGAGAATAAAAAAAAGGTGATTCACGTAGAAATTAGTAAACTAACAGGCAAAGGCGACTGACGATTCATTCAATAGTGGCAAGCAAGCGTCAAATGTTAGGGAAATGACAGTTTATGTTAGGGCTACTAAAACTTTGAACATAATTTGTTGACATAATTTTGTTGAATTTTGATTTGGATTGTTGAAAATATATGTTTTTTTCATTTCATATGATTTTGAAATAATTTTAGTTTAGTTTAAAATACCAGGTGAGGACATGTATTATGAACTTATTAAATCATAAGCCAATAATGATGTAACTAATTTACTTTCTATTATTATTTCAATATGTTGATTGTAATTTGTATTGCTAAATTGGTATTTTTTTCTGAAAAGTGAAAATTGTAAAATTTTTAAATTAATAAAATTAATATTTTAATTAAAAAAAATTTAAAACGGTTCGGTTCGATTTTGTGCAATTTTTGAAAACTAAAACCTAAACCAAACAATTTTGAAACAGTTTGGTTTGATTTGAGGGAAAAAAACCACGGGTCCACGTGGGCCCAAACTAACGGTTTCGACTCAATGATTTTGGTTCGGTTTACGGTTTCACGATTTTTTTGTACAGCCCTAAGCTCAATAATCGTTACCTGTGGAGGCCACCATCGTCATCACCACCAGTGCCACCCAAGTTGCCACCATAGGTGCCTTCATGGGAATTCTAACGGGTGACTCAACTTGTAACACCCCAAATTTTTATAAATCTTGTATTTTTAGGTGTCACCAAAATTTTCTTTTTAAGGGGGAATCAAAGATTGATTGCTTTAAGAATGAAATAACTTAAATTTCTAAAATTTGAAACTAAACATGAAATAAAAATAAACATGCTTATCAAACAAATTTAAAAACTTGTTTTCGAGCAAATTTACACTAACTAAAAATTTAAAACATGAAAACTTAAAGCATATCTTTTTCTTGTTATCATTTTCTTTTGATCCACTTGGCAGCCCGCATCACCATACTTCCACAAATCCAATCGACCCATTCTAACTTGTAAAATTTTTGTAAATTTTTGCATAATAACAAATCATAATCATTCAAAATAGGGCACTTGGACTAGAATTTGAAATTGGTATTAAGATAGTTTGCAAATAGGGCTTATCCTATTCCAGCACAACTTTAGTCGATGAAACATAGTCTTGGAAAAAGGAATCCATAAATCACAGTTGCCGTGGCTGGATAGTTAGGATTTTAATTCAATTTATCATCAAAGACTATCTAGATTAGGACTGCACAGTTCTAATTGTATTGAAAAAGAAACCCAATTAATCAAATACTTATCAATTGCATAATACTCACCTGACCTAGATTAAACTAATTCCTAATTTCGGTAACATAAAAATTGTGATCAGGCTAAGCAAAATTGGAAATTATCCCTTATAATATATACAATCATGTTTTTCTTCTATAGGCTCTATCTTAACTCAAAGCCTCACATGAAATCCCAAAAATCATATTAGAAATCGATCTTCTACAAATATCAAGCACTTTAATCTCTACAATTATTCCTCAAAATCAAGCTGTGACTAAATTGGTGATGATTGACGCATATGGGAAGGTTGAGAATGTGGATATGGTTTTGAGTTTGTATGATTATGCAAGGATTGAAAAATGGTGTGCTAATTTTGTTGCCTTCTCACGTTGGTTAAGATTTATGAGGCATTTGGAAATTTTGATGGGAGCTTCAATGTGTGAAGAAATGAAGGCACTGCGAGTTAAGTTTAAGGATAAAGCTTCACATGGAGGGAGGCCCACGAATATTTTATTACATGTCGCCCCCCTCCATGTGAGGGGGGTGTAAGGCTGTGTGTACATCATTGTGTACACACAGTACAACCCTAAGTTTAATTGGTTCTTTCTGGATGCACAAGAAGAGCAAATAGACCTTGGAAGGCAAAAAATATCATTTTGGCCTTTATATGTTGTATGTACATATTTTTAAGAGTAATGTGAATTTTTAGAATCATGTTGTGAAAAAGAAAAAGAAAAAATAAATAAAAGATTAGAGTGTTCCCAAAATCTGTAAATACATCCTATGTGTTATACATATATTTTATCTCTCACACACACACACACACAAAATCATGAAATGTATATGTTAATCATATTTCAGTCTAGGGGATTATGAATTTTGTTGAGTGATTAGAGGATTTAATATATTTGTCTTATAATTGTTCAAAGTCTCTTCTTTTTGTTTAGATATTTTGGAGACTTTTATATATGCAAATTCATATAATTCTATTTTTAACTAATGACAGCAGTTTAGTTTGGACACGCGATATGGTTATTAAGCTACATAATGTATTTGCATCGAACTTCTTTGCATCATGTATATTAGGATGATCTTTTTCTTAAGTTTATGTTTTGATTTCTATCTGTTCGCCAAATAACTGATATATAATCCCAGATACTATGATAACAAGAAAAAATTCTGACAAAAGATTGCAATAGCAACATGACTTCATCTGTGAAACCATAAAAATGGTGCTTCCTTGATAGATGAACCGTAATGCTACATAAAATAGACATGAAATGTAGTTAAGGTGCTATCTTTCATCTCAAGACTTGCATCATCACTTCACTTGCATAGGTAGGGTGGATTTCATGACCATCCTCTGGCTCTACACGCACCCACTTGAGTCCACTCAATTTGTGGCTCTCAAACTTGATACAATCTTCCTTCAAAGCATGGAGAGTGTGATTTTTCCCGATTCCAACATAATTTAGAGGATGAAAACGCGTTCCCCTTTGATGAACAATGGTGTTCCAAGGTATCACTCTCTACACCACATAATGACTTACATTGCATTAGATAAAATGAAGAAAAAGTGTGTCTTTGATCGATTATTATACGTTTTACATAATAAGGATTCCTGTAATATGAAATCTGTCCATAACTTTTCATTTTCCAAAATTCCCAAACATAGATTCACATTACCATATCAGTTTATGATCATAAGTTTCTGAAAAGGGTCTCCAAATTTGCAAACAGTAAAATGACACATTTTTTATTAAAGATTTTTTATTAAATCAATATTCAATTAGATATATATAAGCACATGGGAATATTTGAAAATTCATGAGTGGGTTAAAACTAATCGAAGAACATTAATTTCGTGATATTACTTTGAGATTTCAACTTCAATTTGAGAAATGCATTCCAAATTCAACGAGTTCTCAATAGCCATAGAGGAAAATAAAATCAGGATTTTTACACATGAAATTGATTGTCTTTGCCCATCTTTAGTTTTTGAATTGCTTTTTCTGATTTTGGAAGTCATTAAATGAAAGGCATAATCTTTGCTAGATTCAATAAATTTCAGCTACAAAATGTTGTCTGTGATACATTTATAGATGTTAGTATTTTGTAGATATATTTTCAACTAGTATTTTTAATTTTATTAACGTAGCGTAGTAAAATATGAAATACCATTTTATAATGATGTAAATGCGAATTTTTTCCGAAATGAAATAGGTAAAACAATCTAGAGTAAAATGATTATATTCTAAAAAAATTTTCGGGGCTTTACACAAACCTCCTTGTTTACGCCGAACTAAAAAAGAAACTATCGATTTTTCCACGGATTCCATTATCAAGAAGTGTATCCACGACTTCTTGGACTAATTTCTCCTAAAACCCCAGAACAGAAATTGTTACACAGATATCTATACTGTTAATTTGAACCCAGAAGCTATGGGGTTGCTCAAACAACCCAGGTCCATTCTTCCACTTTTCTGTTTGTGTTCGTGCTCATGTATACTTATTCGTGTGTAATGATTGGTTTGGAATAATTTTGGACTGTTTGGGTTAGCTCATATTTGTGGGTTTTGTCAATTTGGTATTGTTGAGCCTTGAAGAGTAAATGTTTTTCTTTCAACAATTAAAGATTATTTATTTGTGTGCAATAGATGTAAGAGTAATTGTATACATATTCATATTGTGTGGAATGATTTTTGACGGTTTGGGTTGGTCTATGTTTATAGGTGTTGGGGATTTGGTTTTTTAAAGCTAGGTCATCTCCAATCGTGCACTAAAATATGAATACAAAGTAAGTTTTGCATCAAATCTTGCAATAAAATGAAAATCATCTTTGACCCAGTATACCAAAACTTACACCAAATGAACAGTATTTAATCATTTTCTTCATTTTTTTTATTCTTAACAATTTATTTAATTGAAAATTGTTTATTTATTTATTTATTTTACAACTACACAAATTACTAAATAAATAATTACATTAAATTAAAGAAAATATTAAATTCATTGATAAATTAAAAAATATAGTATAATTAATATGGACACCACAAATAAGAAAATATTAAATAATGTCATTACAATCAGTGCAATGTATTTCGAATCTCGATATCATTACTAAAATTTATTGCAAATGCACATAATGATGATGATAATGACGATGACGACGATGATGCTAATAAATTATTGTATTAAAAAATGTGTGACAAAAATGGACACAAATATCCTTAACCAAAATTTTTACAAAGTGAAAGTCAAGGACAAAATTGTACTTAACCAATTTGGTGCAAAATATAGTGCTACATTGGAAGGACCTTGCACCATTTTTTTGGTACAAAATGGTGTTTTGATGCACACGTTGGAGTTGCTCTAAGTTATATTACCTCAAGTTTCAGTTTCAAAATTGCCTGTTCTACAGTAATGTTTGGGTTTCTGGAGTGGGGATTAGAAATAGATTTGCAATTTTATGTCTTCCACCTTTAGATTGAATTACTTAGAGATCGGGCTCTTACTGCCTTTTGGATTGCGAGCTGTTGATATTTATTGTAGTGGTTTTGCTACTCGTACATAAAAAATGGATTACATAATATAATGTGGAGGGAAAAGATTGGATGAAAAAAATAATTGTGTTTTAAACTGTCAAATGGTAAAGTGTCATGTGGCATTATGTAATCCATTATATAAATCTTGATATACATGTCACAACATCCTTATTGTTGGACGCGAAAGCTCTAATAACACACGTTGATTCCAAACCAGATTATAAAGAACGAGATTTAATGACAATATTGAAGTATACTAGATCACACCACGAAAATCCAAGATTGAATTTGTAAAGAAAGAACACAAAGGATAAACTTAGAGGAACAATGTTTATTAATTCAACAGTATGGAGAATACAAGATAAACTAGCAATACTGCTTCTATGCTTCTCTCTCTACAAACTGACCAAAGGAGTTTCATATTTATAGACCAATCCTAGAAGAGTCATAAAAAGTAAGAAAATATATTACAATTAAGAAACTCAATTTCAACAGGATTTTATTTCCTTATTCAACTTAATTTCCTTAAACTCTAGGTTAATATTCTCTTAATCCAAGTCGAATACAAATATTCAAAAGACTCCTATTTGAGTCATACTTCTAACAATCTCCACCTTAACTCAAATTTCGGTGCTACGAACGAAACCCCTAAATTTTAAGTTCATCTGCATCGAAATTAACTGGCTGAATCTCCTCAACACAGTAACCACTCCATATAAACCTGTTTCGCGCGGGTAGTCGCTACCAATTAAAAAGAAAATCGGACAATTGTGTAAGAAACAAATCTCTTGAGATAAAATCCCAAAAATGGGTGTTTTATTGGCAATGACTTTACAATTGGAGCTTAAACAGAATGCCTCCAAGGGGCGCAAGCACACGAGTACTGAAAAGAAATGTTTAAGTCTAAACTAAGAAATTGAAATTACATATTCTCTGTTTGAGAGTGTTTGATTTGGGGTCTTCTGCTCTATGTATTCTCTTCCTTTTATATTCCCTTGATGATTTCTTCGTGATCAACCGCTTAGAAACTGCTTGATTGCTTTATAATTATCCACTTTCTTTATGGTGGCTAACTTGTCGTGGAACTGCCGTCTCTAACTGCTGCCACTACTCTTTGTCGTTCAACCGTCTTCAACTGAACTCCTTGAATCGTGGAACATGATAAGGTTACTCAATAACTGTTTCAATAACTGCACTTTTGGATAACCATAACATTCTTATGTTTGCTAAGATCCTGGGCAATTCGAAGGTTTGGGCAAGAATAAGGTTATAGCCCTGAGCGACTGTAACGCACTTCATTCGCTCAGATTTTGGGCGTCTTGCAAGCTTGGGCGATGATATTACCGTGTTCGTGGGCTTCCACTGTATTCATTAATAACCCTATCTTGGCTTTTATCCTGAATTATCCAGTTGGGCTTCATTCCTTAGGCTATCCGATTTGGGCTGCACTTTTAGTGTGTCAACAATTACCCCCCAATATGGCAGAATTAATACCAATTGTTAATCTTTGCCATATTTACTTTATGTTTCCCAACAACATTTGAAATTCCCAAGAATGTCAATCATTATTTCCTTCCATAACCTGAAAAAGTGCGACGCTACAAACCCTTATAAACCCCAAAGACAAGCCATTTCGTTGTACCACTAAATCACACCTCATTATTTCGCGCTTCTTTCTCGCCATACCACTGTTCATCTTCTTGCTTCTTTGCTACGTTTCTCAAGCAAACTTTAACAAAACTATATTTCGTCCTTAATGGCTGCTCCACAAACCCAATCTGACGACTCCTTTAGCTTCGAAGATTTTCAGAAAATCCTCACTCGGCCATATGTAAACCCGAACTTCCTTGCACCAGCTAATACCGAACTTAATGAGTTCTATCTGGGTCCTTCATTTAACAATGCCGAAGCCGTCGAACAAGTGGCGGTAGGCCAGCTATTCCCTTGTGCTTAAGGCCCTCCATTCCTGAACTCTTTGCCGCTGAGGCCGATTTGCGAAAAAGGTATTCGCACTTGGCCTAAATATGATGTTATTTTCCGTAGATGGCATGCTCGTCTTGTAGGCCATGGTCCTACCATGGCACTTTTTGATCGTGCTAGGATTTCTGATTTATTAGAAATCTCTCTTCAACCTCCAATTTTTGACCCAGCACTTTTTCTTATTGCTTTAAGTTTTTGGTCTTCTGAATATAATACTTTTGTTTTTCCTCTTGATCTCATGTCCATTATTTTAAGGGATTGTGGGGCCCTGATAAATCTTCCACCTTTGGGTGACACTATTTTCCCTAGTATTTTGATTTTCGGTGTTGTCCCAAAATTTGACAAAAAACTCACTGAGTCCTATTCAAGCTTGCAAGGCTATTATAATCACTCAAGCGCTAAGCCTTCCTACACTGAGTGTATGGCTTTTCTTCAGATTTGACTTTGTAAATATATTCTGTGTGTGCCCAGTATAAAGCCGTCTATGAGATATTTACCCATAGTGCACGAATTGGCACGTGGTAGGCCTTTGAATTTGTGTTCCTTCTTTTTGACTGCCCTCTATAGAGGTATGGCTTCTCTTCAATTTTAATTGAAGAATGGTGCATCTTCCACTGGCAATGGGTCTTTTTGGTTCACTCAACTATGGTTGAGAGCCTATTTTCTATCACTTGGAGCTCTATCCATGTCCCTTCATTCTGCTAGCTGCTATGGGTTAGCCATTGACCCATTAAGCCCTGTAAATATGTCCAGGAAGGACATTTTTTCATTCTTTTATACTTTAAATTCAATTCATTCATTCTTTCCTTTTCCTGCTCATTTAACTCCAGATTATGTGCATCCTCCATCCACCTTGGACAGTGCGAGCGCCTCTATGCTCGTTTGGGTTCAGTTTTGACTGGGAGGGAGTTGTTCCATGATATTTTAACTGGAACCAATGCCAAAGCTGGGGTTGAAATATATGCTCCCCAATTTTTTGATCACCAATTTGATTTTGGCCAAACTTGGCCTGTTCTCCCTTGTTATTCAAAAAATTTGATAGGCCGCTTTCACATCATTAATAAGGCAGAGGCACAAGCTATAGATACTCGCAATATTCTTTTGATGAGTAACTTTTCATTAGCCCCCTTCAATCCTAGCCGCGCCGTTCACCCTCTTTTTGAAAAACTATGGCCATCAGTGAAGTGCAGATTGTTTGCCACTGATGCCAATCGTGCTTTCCATTCACTGGATCAGCCAAACATTCCTTCCACTTTTCCTATTTTGGTCACCCCTGTGTCCATTAGGAATCCTTCCTCACCTGCTCGTGCTAAACAATCTATTCGTTCCTCCACTTCTCTACCTGCCAAACCTACTGCAGTTAAGAGTGCCCCAAGCTGCAAACGGCCAGCTTCAGCATCTTCCATTTTGGAGGATGATGATGATGATGATGATGACACTCCTCTCATCGTCAGGAGAAAGGTAATTGAATTCTGTTTACTCACAAGCATACCATTCTATGTGCTAATGGTTTTCTTGAATTTCTCAGAAAAGTTCAGCCTCTCCTTTGAAGGCTTTGGTGTTGGCAGCTCCTGCTCCATCATCCTCTGCTGGAGCTGCTTCGTCCAAACCAGCTGATGAAGGGACTACACTTAAAGAGAAACCTTCAGTCTCGGAACCTTCATCACAACCAATGGACAAGCCACCTTCTTCCCAGGACGCCGACCCCCCAATCGTCGAACCAGAAGGTAATATATTTTTTGATGTTTTATCTTTGCTTGTACTATTGGTTCATGATTTGTTGCTTCTTGAATCATGCAAAGGCTCCTCGCCTAGACAAGAGGAAGTCTCCACAGGTGGTGGGGCCACAGGTGGTGGAGCCAACTGGTGATATTCCACCTCCTAAAATTGCTGATGAGGTAACCTTTTACTTCACTTTTGTTTTTACTTTGTTCATTGTAGTTGAAACCTTCAATGTTGACATTTTTCTTTGCAGGATGCTGATGAGATCATGTGTTCCATCCGGGACTTGTTCAATTCTTGGGGACAAGTCAAGACATCTCGCCCTACTTCAAACGGTCGTCCTTCTGCTTTTTCAGAGGAAGATATGAAGTTCCTCAAGCAGTCGATAATTGAGTATGTATCTTTTATGGACATGGGCATCGGTCAAGCTAGTGCTACCAAACATAAGGATAAGCTTGAGCATTTGAGTGGAAAGTTGGCGCAAGCACTGACACTTCTGTCGCTCAATATTTCTGCTGATTTTAAAGCGACGTTGAAAGTTGTCCATTCTGACATCCTCTCTTTGTTGGCCAAAAATGTTAAACTGAAGGCCAAGAGTACTCAATATCTTCGTGCTGCATCTGAAAGAGAGTCTTTACTTCTGGAGATCAACAAAGCTGAGGACGAATTGAAAGAAATCTCTTCCGAAGTTATGATTGAAGACTCTTTGATGACCAGCTTGGCTGCACAGATGAAGGAGCTTCAAGCAAGGATGGATGACTGCAACGCGAGAATGGCTGCTAAAAAGCGTAATGCTTCCCAAGGAATTGAGCGAACCAAGTCTTTGGTGGAGCAGCACAAGAAGCTGGAGGTTGATGATGATTTTGTAGCTGAATTGAATATCACTTCTTCTTAGCAGAGCGAGGATTGGGGGAGACTTAGGGAAAGAATTCGTTTGGTCTGGGGCGAATTGTAATTAAGACATCTAATGCCTTAACTTTTCTTTTTGTAACTTCGTATTAACTTTCCTCTTGTAACCTCGTACTGATAGCCATTGCCAATTTTGAATGTAACAGCAGCCATTGTCATTAATGAATAACTAATTTGTCTTCTTGTGTATTTATTGACCTTTGTCCTTAATCGTCAGCCCCCAAGCATTTAACTGTTTTATGATAAGATTCATGTTCATTTTCTTTTGGTATTTCTGTCTCTTTTCCCAAGACTTTGGGCCGCTTGACTCCAATTACTAGGCACGGACGTGGCTATTCATATTCTGTTTCTTCACCTTCATGTCCCTATAAATGCACGTATATCTTGCACTTTTCATTTTCATTTCCATTCTTTTCTTCAAAAACTAATTTGCTGCCATTGTTTGGCATCTCAATGATTGATCCAAAATTTTCATCTTCCATAGAAATAGATCATTTGATCCACCCATTTTGCTGTCTTTTTGGATGTCATCTTTGGTATGGGAGATATAGGAAATATTTTTTGGTCAGCAAAGTTCTTCCCATCGTCTCCATGTTCTTTACAAGGAGTTCAATGATGGAAGGCAATTTTTGAGGATGCCTGTCAAGCCACCTTGCTTGCTGAGAGTGCTTTTCAGTCTCCTTGCCCGTTATTACAGCGATGCATTTAGGTAGGCGATGTGAGGGCGCTTCTTTTCCCTTTTGCTTGCTGAGAGTGCTTCTCCGCCTCTTTGCTTGCCTTTGCAGCAGTGTGATCAGGATGGCAATCAAGGCCAATTTACCCTCTTACTTGGTGATCGACCGAGAGATTAGTTTGCTCTCAATTGTAGCTTATAGAGCATTTAGTATTTTGTATCTTGCAACTTTGTAATGAACGTTTGATAATAAAGGAATTTATTTGAACGTATTTCGCTCTGGCCCCTTTTTTATCTACGATCGTTCAACGCGATTTGATTACGCTTTTATTTGTTCACTTTCCCATAAGGAAGGAACATATTTTTTTAAATATTTGCCATTAATGAACCTCATGTACTTGGTGCTATCTAAATCTTCCAAATGATAGGCTCCATTAGGCAACACACTATTTACTTTATATGACCCTTTCCAAACGGGCGACCACTTGCCATATTTTGGATCTTTGCTATCCAAAGGAAGTATTGTTTTCCAAACCAATTCGTCCAAGTTAAATGACTTGACTATAACTTTTTTATTATAAAACTTAGCCATATTTTGTTTTTGAAATTGCAATCTATCTAGGACGTCTAACTCCAATAAGTTTTGAACTGGTGATTCGATATACTCGTCATCACTTAACTTATGTTGCAAACACACTCTGATCGATTGTACGTTAATTTTCATAGACAAAACGGCCTCCTGTCCATAAGTAAGTTGGGAAGGAGTAATTTTTGTACTTAACCGAAGCGACATCCTATGAGCTCATAAGGCCTTGTTTAGACATTTGTGCCAATTTCTGACATTTTCATCTATTATTTTCCTCATGATATTTTTTAGAATTTTATTAGAAAATTCTGCTGGTCCGTTGGATTGAGCGTAATATGGTGTGGAGTTTACTAATTTAACTCCAAACTCGCTCAAAAATTTATTTACTTGATCTCCATTTAAAGAAGTTCCGTGATTTACCATCAAAGTTTGTGGAATTCCAAATCTATAAATAATATGATCACGGATAAATTCTATGACACTCTTTTGGGTGATCTCCTTTAAAGGTATCACTTCTACCCACTGAGTGAAAAAATCAGTTGCAATTATAACAAAGGTATGTTGTTTGGACGATGGGGGATAAATCTTCCCTATTAGGTCTATCGCCCAACCTTTGAACGGCCAAGGTTTGATAATATGTGCCATCTTTCTTGCTGGCGCCCTTTGTATTGGACCATGCTTTTGGCATGCTAGACAACTCTTTGTATATTGAACACATGATTCTCCCATCTTGGGCCAAAAATACCCATTCCTAATAATTAACCATCTCATCCTTTGACCAACTTGATGAGCTCCACATATCCCTTCGTGCACCTCAGTCATAATTGTCCTGGCTTCTTACAAACTTACACATTTTAGCAATATACCATCAGAGCGTTTCTTAAACAACTCTTCATCTATCGGTGTATAATTTAGCAAACGCAACTTCATTTTTCTACTATCTCCTTTATTAGGTTCTTTAAGGAACCTTTTAATCTCTATCCTCCAATCTATTGCATCTCCATCTTGTAAGCAATGAATTTCAATCCTTCTCGCCCTTCTTTAGACTACGGGCAATATTACTCCATATTCATAAGTAGATTTCCAATTTAAAACCTTTGAATACCCTGGGGCCATCTGGGCCAACTCATTTGCTACGTCATTAAATATCCTATTGACATATTGAAACTCTACTTGGTCAAATTCTTCCAACAACTCGTGGGCGATTTCATATTGACTTATAATGAAATCACTTTGACACTTAAAATCACCAATCAAGTTGTGAATTACCAATTGAGAATCGCCTCTAACGATCACATTCTTTACCCCCATATCTATCATTAATTCTAGGCCCACGATTAAGGCTTCATAGTCGGCTTGATTGTTGGTACACATCCTATCCAAAGTGCATGCGAACTTGTAACAAATCCCTAAAGGATTTATTAATGCTACTCCTACTCTTGCACCTTTAGAAGTTTTTGACCCATCGAAATACAAAACCCAAGGTTTTAATTCGAACGAATTGATTTCTAATTCAATTTCTTCAGGCATGGATGATCGGCCAAAAAGTTAGTCAAAGCCTGATTTTCGATTGTCTTTTGGGGTATGTATTGTATTTCGAATTCTGATAATACTAACGTCCAAAGGCCTACTCTTTGGTGTAAAATAGGGCGAGAGAACATTTACTTAACCAAATTTACTCTAGAAATCAAATAAACGGTTACAGGCCGTAAATAAGCCCTTAATTTTGTACATGTGAAATACAATGCAAGACATAATTTTTCAATGGCAGAGTAATTACATTCACATTTTGTTAACCATCTACTCAAGTAGTAAATCATAATTTCTTCAACAAATTGGTCTTCTTGCGTGACCATTCCAGCTATTGATTCTTGTTCAGCCGATATATATACTTTCATTAGCTGTCCTTGGATTGGTGACACCAACACTGGTGGATTTGATAAATATGTTTTTAGGCTTTCAAAAGCCTTTTGATGCTCTTCTTTCCAGACGAATTCGTCCTGATTTTTCAACTTTAAAAGTGGCGAAAAAGCTTTAGTTCGCCCTGCACAGTTAGAAATAAAGCGTCTTAAAAAATTTACTTGACCTAGAAACCTTTGCAATTCTTTTTTATTGCTGGGTGATTTGGCCTCTAAAATAGCCTTCGCTTTATTTTTATCAAGTTCAATCCCTCTTTTGTGTACTAAGAAACCAAGGAAGTTTCCCGCGTTAACGCCAAATGCACATTTCACAGGATTCAATTTTAGTTTATATTGCCTCATTCGCTCAAATGAACATCTCAATTGTTCAAAATGATCCTCTTCTTTAATGGATCTGACACTATATCATCTACATACACCTCAACAAACTTGCCTATCATATCATGAAAAATTAAGTTCATTACCCTTTGATAAGTTGCTTCTGCATTTTTAGGCCGAAGGGTATAACTACCCATTCAAAACATCCTAGAGATCTAGGGCACCTAAAGGTAGTTTTGTGTATATCTTCCTTAGCTATATAAATTTGATTGTAACCTG